TCCTCGCCTCTCATCTCCTCTCCTCTCCTCTCCTCCCCCACCCTACCCTACCCTATTCTTTTTGTGCAGTTTCTCTTATTTCTATGCAGTTTCCCTTATTTCCCTGCAGTTTCTCTACTTAGATCCTCACAATTTTTTTTAGGTTCATTCTGCAGCTTTTCTTTACCTCACCTCTCCCTGGTAATTCCGCTCCTCAGATCAGTGGTATTGGTCTTGTGGTATCACCTAAAGTCATCATTTGAGTAGAACAGCTGCTGTACAAATACGTGGCAAAAAAAGGTTATTGAAACTCAGAGCTTATGCTTTGTTGGTACGGCAGCAACTGAATGGGTGCAGTGCCAGAAAACAGAACGAGGTGGCCATTTTATATAACATAAATACAATATAATAATAGAATAGAATAGAATAGAAAAGAAAAGAAAAGAAAAGAAAAGAAAAGAAAAGAAAAGAAAAGAAAAGAAAAGAAAAGAAAAGATAATATATATAGTATATAGTATACAATATACAATACACAATATAAAATGATAAACGTAACATAACATAATGTAATAGAATACGATACGATATGATATGATATCAAACTTTATTGGTAGCAATGGATACATCGTTCTTCGCATCATTCCTGTTTGGGTTTTTTTTTGAGAGGGGGGAAAAAATCACAGAAAAAGAGAGCAGCTGTGGGCGATTGCATGAACCGCGCTTTGTCGTAGTCCTGGTGAATATCTGATACGAGAGAGATTCAGAGAATTTAGGGAGCCAGACCCAAAGCGAGGAGGCTGATGACGCTCGTTATGTTTGGTTCTAATTGGCAGTTCATCGGGCTGCCGGCGTTGCCCTCCTATTGGACTCTGGGTTTCCAGCTCAGCCGCTATGATTACGGGTCTCTCGATGAGGTGAAGGCTGTTGTGGAGCGAAACAGAGCGATTGGACTCCCTTATGTGAGTAAAAACGTGGCTTTTTCCTCTTTTCAGCTACAGCCGTTTTCATTGGCTGCACAGATTTCTACAAAAAACGCTGAATGATTTTGAATGTCGTTTGCTCCCTTTTTTGTGGAAGCAATTCTTCGGCTCAGTTTCCAGCTCAATGTATTTATTTCCATGTTACGCACATTTCTTTGGCTTGATCTGTGAACTGATGAGGTCAAACCCAGTGTGCACATTCACTTCACGCTCTGGGAAGCCCTGGAAAATTACGGAGCATCAGAAGCCAATTTTTTTTCCCAATTTAGCAATGGCTGGCCGTTTAAAAAATACTTTTGGTGCCACATCCAACTGAGAGTGGATCACGTCAGCTGCTTCTCTGGGCATTTTTAATTAGGATGCAGCACGTTGAGAAGATGCGCCGTCATCGGGGCACTTCAGCATCGTGTCTAACGTCCTGTCTCCTTCCAGGATGTCCAGCACACGGATATTGACTACATGGAAGCCAGGAAAGATTTTACATATGACAAAGTGAACTTCAAAGACCTCCCCAGTTTTCAAACTTACATGCATGACTATGGGCAAAAATACATTATCATACTGGTAAGCATTGAGCTATTTGGTTTTCCATTTAAAATATTATCGTTATCAGTAAATATGTTATATATTTATATATTTTTTTAATACACGTGTTGTTACATGAGACTTCTTTCTGTGAGGCTGCTGGGCTCTA